GTTAGTTGCGATAGAATATCAGCAAAGAATATTGTGCTTTAGATAAACACGCATACTACTGCCTCAGCCAAATACCGCGCTCTCCCAGCAGCTGCGGAAAATAGATTAACTGGGTACAATCGAGTCGCAAGAGCTATCATTGGTAATGTATCAGATACTAGACGCAGAGAAATTACATTCAAAAAACATATACTGAGCAGTCATATTAAGCTAACACAAGAAATGCTGTATACCCAAACCCATCTTCATTATTTTTAAATTTGCCTCACTAAATTAACATATAAACATGGAAAGTGGTCTCAGCCAAATGTTGAACTAAAGCTGCACCGTGCAGTTCACGCGACAAGTTCCGCACCACACCCATAGATGAACCTTGCGAGGTACAGCTGATACGCTTTGTCTGCTTACTACTGACCAGTAACGTGAGAAGAACGTCAAAGACGAAACGACTACATAAGAAAATAACAACAATCTCAAATGTTTCCAACAGCTGGCGCGGCAGTTCCGAGCCATCAACATTTTTCTCAAGAGGGCAAAGGTCACTTCTTTCGTTCTTTGGTTCAGGGAAAAATGAAATAAAAAACGATCAAGTTTAAAGAAGATACTTTGTTATTTTGAAGACAGTAATTTTTTTTACACCTATAAAAATGGCTTGCCACATGGCCACAATTGCTCTGGAATACGCCATATACGTGATATCCCGCATTTTTAATGCTTCGATGCACTTGATGCTAATTAGCTTAACCGATCGCGAGCTCGAGGCGATGAAAAAAAAAAAAAAAAAAAAAAAAAAAAAAAAAAAAAAAAAAAAAAAAAAAAAAAAAAAAAAAAAAAAAAAAAAAAAAACAAAAAAAAAATAATAATAAAGAAAAAATAATAAAAAAAAAAAAGAACACATGATTTTTAGTGATTAGTTTTTACCCCAGTAGGATCGCGACATAAGAAATAGAAAGGATATAGATTCAAGAGACTACTGCATATTATATAGGAAAAAAGAAGTCAGATTAGATTACATACGAACTGGAACCACTTTTGATTGACTAACTTCTCCTGAGAGAACACATTAGTCTCTCAATTAAGCAAAATAGAAGAAGATAGGAAATCATAGAACAAAGAGCAAAGAAATAGAAGATGACCATAAATAAATGAGAGCCCAGAAAAGAACAAACAATAAAGTAAAAAGAAAAAAAAGCCAAAAAAAAAAAAAAAAAAAAAAAAAAAAAAAAAAAAAAAAAAAAAAAAAAAAAAAAAAAAAAAAAAAAAAAAAAAAAAAAAAAAAAAAAAAAAAAAAAAAAAAAAAAAAAAAAAAAAAAAAAAAAAAAAAAAAAAAAAAAAAAAAAAAAAAAAAATAAAAAAAAAAAAAAAAAAAAAAAAAAACAATAACGTTCTTAACTTAAAGAAATATACAACCTAAAAAAACGAAAGATAGGACCGACATTAGAATTACACGAGAAAAAATAATCGATAGAACAAGCACATACAAGAGACATAACACCAAGACAGATACAAAGATAGAACATCAAATGCATCTATAACAACTTCATAATACTCGAACGCTCGAAAATCAGAAAAAAACAGAATAGAAAAGACGAAAACACATCACAGGACGAATAGAGAAGTTTCAAATCGCAAATTCTCATTCGAAAAAACAGAGATATCAAGAGATTTAGAAAACAAAAAAGAATTACAAAAAGAAAGAAGAAAGAAACCATACACAGATCCTAGAGAAACGGAAAAAAAGAACATAATAAATCAAAATAAGGAATGAAACAAAAAACAAAAAGGTAAAAAACCAACAAAAAATCACAATAATGTAGCAAAGAAACTGAACCGAACAAAAATATCCAAAAGACCAGAAAAAAAGAAAAGATATATCACAGGAGAAAATCAAAAAACATCATCAAAAATAGATATAGTATTTAATGAGAGAGAGAACGACGACACCAAGAGTACAAAAAAATCACATAGAACAACGGGTTATTCAGGGCATTGTCTTATCTCCAAACAATATATAATAAATTTTCATAGGACCTTCTTCTGCTCACCTGTCAGTATGTGCGTTCAGGTCTGAGCGTGTGGATCTTTGAATGTCGAGAGGCGAGCCTCGTACAGTATGCTGGAAATGCCACACATTCATTAAGGAAAAGGTAGGAGCTTTCATTGCTTAAGCAAAATAGGACTAGCCTCGCACTATTGGTACCAATCAAAGGAATTAAGAGAGTTAGTCTCTTAGTTTCAGGCCCTAAAGGAGTCGCCAGAGGATATTCCCCTGTTTGAACCATCAGATATCGAATTTGATGCTGGATTTATTGACTTTCTTAAGAAGTTGGAGCAGCGCCAGGAAATGATCAAGGTTTGAGTAATTGCTTGGACGCCTCTGTGGCGCATTTCCCTCCTTTTGTGAGAATACAGTGGAGGTTATAAACAGATGTGAGTAATTTCCAGGAATCGGCTCTGCGTGCTGCTTTGTTCGCACCCCGTCAAGTGTGTTGCCGAGCAAGAGCCGCCTATGAGAAATTCTGGTCAGACAACATAGTTCTTGCCACAGCTCGCAGCTGGACGCTTATTCAGTTCCGAGGGTATAGTCTTCAAAGTTTCATAATTTTTCACGTGGGGAATTGCGCTTCGTTAGAGTTTTTGAAATAATCCATTTTTTCAGGCTCCCTTCGCCGGAAGATGGCCTAGAAGGTCCCGTGCACAAGTGGACATTCGAAGTCAGCGTGGACAACCTTTCGTTGATGCTCTGTTCGATTTTTGCGAGCTCAAAGTCAATCTCACAGACGATGCCGAGTTCTGAAGCGGGTATGTGTTTTCAGCAGTTGATTTTTTAATACAAACAATTCTATGATTTTTTTGATATGAGGAATAGATTAGTGAGCCTTTGAATGCGGGGTTTAAGTTAGAGATTATAAAATTAAATAGCAATTTCTAAGCATGGCAGCCGATGCGGACGGACATCTCTAGGAGTTATAGCCAGGTTGCAGAAAAAAAAGACGGGTGTCTCTCAAGCTGAGAGGGGCCGCTCTCTCGAAGTAATGGACCAAAACTGAATTTTTCAATTATGGTAAAGGTCCTAGGGGTAACCTGATCGGAGCTAACTTCTCGGAGTTGTAGAGATTCATCGGGCGCGCCATGCATTACTTCCAGTTACGGATTTTCGCGACAGGATATCTGGGGATACATATCTCGCCCTTTCTCATCCTAACGGCCATTGAGTGCACTCTCGCATCCTTGAATGGACTCCTTCTACTGGTGGAGGAACTTTAAATTCCGGACTTTTCTCTAACAGTCACCCTTGCTAACCATAACACACCTGAACCACACTTGAGGAAAATCAACGATTTCAAGGGTCAATTTGGTGCTATCGCAAAATACGGGGCATTGTAGTGGCATGCCGAACCGAACATGTAATTTTTTTAAGGAAGGGGACGAAGCCTTAGGTGGGAAACCAGACCTGTCTCTAGGGTACGTGAACCATTTCCTTTTCTCCCGGTCTTGCCCCCCCCCCGTAGCCTCGAGTCCTTGCTTTGTAGTGTGTTATCTGGAGACAATGGGAAAAAAAAAAAAAAAAAAAAAAAAAAAAAAAAAAAAAAAAAAAAAAAAAAAAAAAAAAAAAAAAAAAAAAAAAAAAAAAAAAAAAAAAAAAAAAAAAAAAAAAAAAAAAAAAAAAAAAAAAAAAAAAAAAAAAAAAAAAAAAAAAAAAAAATCGAAGTGAGACGTTCGTCTTCTCTTCTCTTTCTGCTACCGCGCCACCCCCATCTACTTAGCTCCGCCGTACCCTCCCGCCCATATTCTCATATGCTCGCCTTTGCGCCCCTCTCCCAGAATATCAAACCAAGAAGCAAATAGCGAAATAAGTCTACATATTGAACAATATAAATTATGAATATTTCATACCCACTATAAAGATATAAGAGTTGTAAGAAGGGACGTAACACTGCTACGACGACGATAATACTACGGCACCCCAAAATTACTGACAACTACGCGCAACTGTAAAAGTCAACACCATCGAAATACTAACAAATAACAATATTCATCAACGAATATCGAACCTGACCGAGCCGATCCCATAGCGGTCTCCTTTCACTCGAAAGTGTAACCATTTCTGTTCTCCAAGCTTATTAATATACAAATGCTCAAGGCTCTACACAGTTGGGCTCACGATTCCGCTCTCGAAGACACTATACGCCCTCACATCCACCAAGCGTGTCCATGAGACTGGCTCCTCATAAATCATCACCGTAACATGCCAATCGCAATTCCACATTAAGCCAGCAATTACATTTACGAGTGCAAGTCAGTAATTGCGCAGTTGCTATTCTGCAGGTCGATTTTTTTGTTCGTAGCGGCGTCTAAAGTTCTGTCTGAGTGGACTCGTTTTTCTCCTCTGTTAGTTTTCATTCATGTTATACTGTGCTGCTGGTATTCACGTCCACATTGCCGAGAATGTTTATATTTAGCTATTCTGCGTCGCGTTTTCTCCCGTCGAGGAACATAAACTGGGGAGGACAAGATTTCATTGGTTGCTGGGGGAAGTCATCAAAAAAGGTAATTCACTAACCATCCTTTAGATTGGTGTTCAATTACTTTAAAGCGCTTTTACTTGAAGAATGCCTCTTACCATGGGTGCCTACGACACCATTCACCTAATGTAGAGCCTCGCCTGCTGGACCATGCGGATTTGGACTTCGCCTTCCAGATTGTGGTGGAATGTACCCTTCAACTAGCTCCTTCTCATGATCACGCGCTTCGTTTCCACACTAGGGTGTGCCAGAATCCGGTACGAGCCCTTATTCTTACTTCCATTCCTCGCTCCATTCAAAGGTCATTACAATCTAAAGACCTGATGAGGCACTTTCGCCCTTATAGACTCCTCACTCACTCTGCTATCTACCACATCCTATACAACTGTCTTTCTTAAGAAATGGGAGCCGGTCCTCCTCTACCCAACCGTGCGTTGCCGACTGAAGCGCGCTTTATCGACTTCGCACGCGCTCCAGCCGCTTTTGAGCACTGGTGTAGGAGGGGCTGAGGAATGTTCTCAAGAAGCTCCTGAACTAGAGAAGAAGAGTAAAAGACGAGAAAATGAAGAGGTGAAAAGGCATCCTTCATCTTTTGTGTTCATCTTCTTGCTAACTTGCATTTTGCTATTAGGCATATTTTACCAAAAGCCATTTCAGTGGATTGCCGCTCTGTTGAAAATGCTCGAGCAGAAGCCGACGAAGAGCAGAAAACTTCTCAGAGGACTTATAAACTTTTCCAAGGAACACAAAACGTCAAAATCGTCAAAGTCACGTAGTGGTGTACACAATGTGTCTCCGTCGAAAAACTCCGACACTGAGGCAGTGGAATCCAGCGCAGATGTTGGCCCAACGCCATCGGACAGTGCCAGTCCAGCTGTCGATGTCTACGAATACATGCGAATGAAGCTGAAGGAGCACGAAAAAGCGAAGGTATGGTAACAAATTACTTTCAGTTGGCTGCTTAGAAGTTCACTGACCATAGAATAAATATAACTATAACAGCTGCGTTCAGAAAACCACTGAGAAAGACAGTGTTGTGGAGTCGAAGCCAAAGAAGACAAAAAAGGAGAAAAATCAGAACGATATTCGTGTATATCTAGTTGGCAGAAAGGTGAGCGTTGTTCTTCGCTTTTACAAGGCTAGGAATAAGTAGAAAGGGCATGGTGGGTACTGCTGGGACCGCATAGCTACAGTCATCCCCCGCCCAGCTGAGTTTGTGGAGTTAGGTCGTTGATTGGTTTAACGGCTCACCGTAGCAATTTAGCGTTAGATGAGAGATTGCGCAGCGGTGTAGTCAGCTTTACCGTATATTCCACCGTAAGAATCAATTAATCATAATTTAAAATTGTTTTGGCGTGTTTCCACCTGGCGCTTGAACTTGAATGAATGCAATTCTTGCACTATTTACTCTTTACTCTCCCACTCCTCATGAACTAGCCGAATTCTTGTCGAAATTTTCCACGACCAAGGGTTTGGCTAGAAGTTGTCTTCTGGAGTATTTCAATCCTTTAAACTCAAACACCACATCAGTTCAACGTATGACACCCGCATCATAGGCGCCGGCGTCATAACATCAGTTTTGTATGTGTTTTATGTTTTGGCGCCTTTTGGCACAGGCACAGGCACGTTATTCTCGCTGTTAGGTTCACCTATGCGGTGAGTACCTATACGGTGAGTCTTGGTCGGATATTTGACCGTTGCCCTCAAGGGCAGGGGGTGCGGGTAAATCCCTAAAGGAATTCTCGCTTGAGTGAGGGAGCAGGACCCTCAAATTACAGGGGTGGTGGTAATGTCACAACTTCAAAGTGTGCAACAAGGAACCTGGTGCCTTTCCTGAACCGCTGCAACCGTCGACATTTCTATTAGTCGCAGCTTACTTAGAGTCTGCGTCCTCTCGCGCACTACATGCTTTCTCGCCTTTCCTCTCTCCTCGACGCGCTGTTTCTCTCCGTCATATCACGGCCTGACTCACAAGGAAATTCCATTGTCTATCATAGCACTTTTTGATTTTTTCTCCCGTTAACGTTCGTTTAACCCTTCTTGTCTTGTTTTCGAACAACATATCACACCAATTCAATCATAGCTCGTGTTTTGCATATTAATTCATTTGGCGAGCCACTTGTACGAAGAGTATTTCGAGATATAAAAACTAGGTTCTCCCATTTTGATTAAGGAATGGTGATAAGCACGGTTCCAGGTCACTAGTACTGCACATCTTTTTTTTACTAGGTCGCCGAACCATCATGTAAGACGTGCGGTGCCCAAGCTGACATCCGAGACTTCCTAGTTGGCAAGAAGGTGAAGCGTGCACAAGAGGCGGAAGCAGAACCATCTACAATTACTGACACTCCACAGAAGGAGCTGACCAAGCTGACTAAGATTAAGGTGTGTTTGTCAAAACCTCGAGGATTTCCGCAACTTCTCTCTTCATAGATTTTCGGCACCCTTTTATTTTTAATGATTTTTTTCTGCCGACAAGGCTCAAACCTTGAGCTGTTGAGTTTTATCTCAGAACGGGCGACACGTTAGGCAGTTAATAAAAGTATCCTTTCACCTGAAGATCTTATCAGCTGGAGAAATCATTACACTTAACAATAGGATTTTTTAATTAATTTGAAGAGATTATGTGGTGACATCTGTTGTTCACAAGAAGCACTTATGTTGTTTCAGTCGTCGTCGAAGAATCGAATTGTTGGAAAGTACGTGAAACTGAGTAAAACTCCTACTGTTGCAGTAGTTGGGGTGAGCTCGTTCTCTACTTCTTCATGTTTACCCTTTGCTCTTCATTTCCAAATGTTCTCTGATGCTCTTTCGTCTGTTTACAATAAATTCAGGAGTCGACCACCCGTTTCATTGGACGCCTCTCTAGCACGGCTGTCGTGTACGGCAAAAGCTTCAAACTCACCAATCTGTCTCGAAAGGACCTCCATCTGAGCGTATGTTCCACTTCCTTTTTTGTATTTGTAAATATATGCGTGTGCCAGCAAAATAAACAACTAGTCGTAAGATACAAAAATTTAAATAGGCGCTGTCGCCCGATACAGGGGTAATCTCTCTTACGAAGTCCAATAGGGGGCAGGAGCTTCGGGTAAAGTAAAATTGCTAACGCAGTCTGAATCGTCTCCTCTCTCGTCTAAGGCGTACAGCTAGACTCGTTCATAGCAAAACAGAGATGTCCTACGGTGTTTTGAATGTGGCCCCGTATCTTGCGATAGCGCCTCCAAATAAATCAGATAAAAAGGACTTAGAGGGCCGCATGCAGCGCTGGACATCGTAGGAACCAAAAGGAATTTTCCCCGATTTCCTCCAAATTCCAGGTGGCTCCAATCGACTGGCCGGAGCACGTTCAACTTCTTCATCCAAATTCACCAATAATTTTGGCTCCAGGACAAACCAAGGACATGGCGTGAGTTTACAGCAAATAAAAAATGCAATTTTATATGGGTCATCAGGTGCAAAGTTATCAGTCGTCATTCTAGGGTTACGGTAACTCGTTCGAGTGAAAGTGTTGCTTCGGAATGTCACCTGTTGTCTATCGTTCACCGAAAGACTACTCTGTCCCACGTTCTTACATTTAAAATTGACGCCATGGCTATACATCATGAAGGTTCTGTTTGTCTAACCTTTCGTCTTTCATTCAAACTATTGCCGATGATTTTGTCATTTCCAGGCCCTCTCCTATCAGAGCTCTACACACCAGAAGAAGTGAAAATGATCACCTCGTTCCGTCCAGTTCTGAATCTTCCTCGTCCCTTCGATGAGAGCCACAAACAGCCAAATGATGAGGTAAGAATTTGTACAATGTCTGGAATGAAAAAAGGCCGCCCTAGGGGCCTCAACTTCTATGACTTTTGGTCTTCTTAACTCGAGCTCGGACATTCGTCAAGCATGAAGTTCCTTTTTAAGTTCAGTATAACTGGGGATTGCTTTATGGAGTTAGGGCCATTTGTGGTAACGGAATATCGTGCGCGTTCTGAGCAGGTGTGCGAGGAAGTTTGTGAGGAGTTACAATTTGCCTGACCTGCTTTTAAGCTCAGCTCGTCATACAGAAGTTATTCAGCTACCTCGTAATGTAACCCGTAGAAGACTTACCGTACTTGCCCCAAACGGAGGATGTGACTTCGAGCTCCGCCTCGGGCGAAGGGTGTGCGCATAACTTAGCATTCTTGCAATATTTGTGGCCGAGTTATTTTCTTGTAACTTGAGCTCTAGGAACTTGTTAAGTGCACCCCAATGTTCCTCATGGAGTTTCTGGCATGAGTCTGGTCATCGTAGAGTGGTAGGTGAGGGGAGAACTGAAACACCGCGACTGGAAATGCCCGGATAGGGAGTTGTTCTCCCACTGCTTATAGGAATATTTGCCTCATTCACTCTCATTTCTTCACTCAGTAGAATTGTCTTTCTGAAGCTTTCTGAACCTCTAGGTTCTTCTGATTCACTCTAGTAAGTATTCTTTTCAGGCTGAGGCTACCGAAACCGTTCACACTGTTATCAATATGCTAAAGGTAAATGACACTTTTACTGCAGCTGCTGAGAGGATTTGATCCAAGGCTTTTTCAATTTCAGGACGAAGTCGATAGCATGTGCACAGGAATTATTCCACAATCTAAGGTAAGTTAGTGAAAGGAAATTGGCTTTAGAATCATTCTCGAAACCAAAAAAGCGCTATGACAAGGTATGGGGCATTCTCAAGGACTAAACCTGGATTGAGGCAGGAACTTGGAAGAAAGTGGTAATTGCTTATGTACCTTGTATCCTCTCCTGTCCCGCCTAAGGCCGATGTCAGACTTTGCGATTTCGCGCGATTCGCTAGCGTCCGCGGTCGCGTTGCGGTACCAGCCAATTGAGTGATTCACTGGCCGCGACGCGACCGCAGACGCTAGCGAATCGCGCGATTCGCAAAGTCTGACATCGGCCATTAAAGAGTGTCCCCATTTTGGACGAAAGAAGATATTCAACCGCTGTTCGAGTGTCATTACTGAGTCACAATGGCCCCCCGTATCTTTGGATGGCTGCTTGTTCAAAGTTTGCTCGTCAGTTCGACCGTTTGAAATAACTCTGGGAAACGGCAGTCGTGGCGTTTCTGGTGGACCACCATGTGTAAGTAATTGCCAATTTCCAGTTTTAGACAATACGCAAATCACGGCACTGAATTCTCGTGAGGCTGGAGCATGTTTTGACTCACTACATGCGAGTACAAGAATTGCCGTCCTTTGAACCGCTCTGATGATATGATTGTTCCCTGCATCGCTTCTCTCGTCTGATAAGCAGCTCACTGTTGCTGTGATTTCAAACATTCAATTTTCCCGCACCACTTGGAAATTGCTCAACCCCCACCCTGTGTAGCTCCCCTGCCCTCCTCCTTGACTTAGCGTTAGGGCTCTACCTTCCTTCTTGAAGATTGACCAGCGTAACCTAGACGCCGTTCTCTAATCGAGGGTTCCCTAGCCATCCATGGCAGGATCATAGACGACAAGGGGGGGGGGGGCTGCATGATCTTATGGATAGGATTTGATTTACTCTATTTAATTTGCATTTTGGTTCTTCAAAATTGTCCATTTAAATTATCGGACTCGGAGACAATATATTTATGGCCAGCAATGATTTTATCGAAGGGGTAATGGATATCGGTTAAAAATAGTAAGGGAAAGCATACCGGGATGTTACCGGGAAAAAGTCCTCGTTTTGCCCTTTGCGGTTGTGTTTCAAACCTGACAGCTTCGACTTGGGGTGATAAATTTGAGACGCTTGATCTCTTGTGGCAATTGGTGTTTTGGCACAGCTAACTAACAGGCTTCCCCCTTTGCACCTGTCAACGAAGGGCTTTTGATTTTTTGTCTTTCGTCCAAGAGATTTAGCTGACATACCAGCGCCTTCACTTTCCGCAGTTCTAACCTATACAGTACAGTTTTCGAATAAGAAATTCAGACCGCAACAGTCACGGTTGATGATAAGGGCGTACCAGGCCATGTCTCTCTCTCTATGCTGCAAAAATTTACATTTCAGAATCGATGCGAACAGCGTGCATACAATCGTTGGTGCATCGGACCGAGGTAAATTTGTTTTTTCTTTCCGTATCAGCTCTTTGGCGGTCAATAACGGTTGGATATCACGTGAGTTCCTTTTCAATAAATTTCGATCCCCACGCTTAGGGTCTCCGATGGCGACCGCTGCCACACGACCGTGAGACTCAGGAGGCTATTCTGATACGACCACCGTTCTCCCTACCCCGACCACCACCGTCACCACAATCTAGATCACCTCGTCACCACATTCAGTCAACAAATTACTATCCAATCACTATCCCATTTATTCCCTGCGACCACCTCCACCCTCCAACCACAAAGCGACCACCTCGTTCCAATAGTGCGAACGCATTGTGAAGTTTGTGAACTTGAACTAATTTTTGATCGATTTTTCACTACGTTAGAACGTATTCCGTCCCGTTGTTTGGGTCACTTTCTCGAAATCAGGGGCTTCACTTGTGTGGACTATTTCTTGTGTTGGCTTCGATTAGTATGAAAATTCTTCTGTGTTCTGAGAGCGGCGTTTCTTGGAAAAAAGGTTGCTGTAAAGCGAATCCAGCCTTTCAATATATCTCCAGTGATTGGGTATAGGTGTATGATTTTGCTGCGTTAAAAAATGGAAAGAGCGGGAACGAAATATCGATGATTCTGTGGAAAAAATGCCCGAATAACAAATAAATTTTCGTGGTTACTATTATTCATCCAAGGCTGTGTAAGAGTTTGTTCAAATCTGACCATAGTTCCTTTCATTGTGAGTCAGGATCTTCGATCTCGGTCGTTAGCGGAGAACTGTTGCTTTTCACGTGAACGATCTTCGGTCCATGCACTTAGAGAGCGAACTGGTCGGTTGATAAGAAGAAAAAGGGGTCGTTCAGAAGAATTACATTACTTAATTTTCACCACTTGAAATAAAAAGTCAGAAAAAGCCGGAAATAAGTTACTGTAATAACAGCAATCGCTCTGCGTTATTCTAAAAGTTTCACGATATTCGAAAAACTCTAAAAATTCCAAAAAACCAGCAAAAATTCAAAAAGAATTCCTCTCACGGGAGTCGCGCTGTTGGAGTTTCACTCCAGCGGAGCGGCTCCCGTTAGGACAGCTTTGAAGGCACAGCAATCAGGATTAAATTGATGTAATTCCACTCAAATGTGAAAGTAGGGATGGGAAGTGGACCGCCAGTGGAGAAAAAAAGAGAAAGAAAATCCTGAAATACACAGGAAATATGAGCATTTTGCTCCATGCTGTGAAGATGTTCAAAAGACAGGCAGGGAGATGAGAGATTGTGTGAAGCGGAGAGCTGGGGGTTTTGGAGAAGTTCAAGAAAGCATGTACACTCAACGTGGCGACGCAGACAATGTCGAACGGATGGGCTACGCATTTAAATTGGAATCTGTCAGAAGTCCATGGCGTCTATGGTCCAGTGATGCACTTCGATGTATAAAGTTGGCGCTACCTTTGCACTGGCATACCCAAGCACTTCTAGCCCATGGTAAGGGCTTCTTAGGTGGGTCTAGCCCGAACTTTGCCTTTAATATTTAGATAAGGCATACACATGCCTGACGAAGGTGTTATACACGAAATATCGCAGAAGACTCAAAGGAATTCCTTTTTGAATTTTTTGCTGGTTTTTGGAATTTTTGGAGTTTTTCCGAATACTTTGTGAACTTTTGGATAAATTTTGGTGCTATTATAGCATGCTAATTTTGTTGCGTTGTGTTTTGTGTTTGTGCTTTGTTGTACTGAATTCGATGGGTGCGGTAACTTCCATGACCCCTAGATCCTGATGTCATCCCTTTGTTCTATACCTCCTCTTTAGGGGTATTTTTCGGCCCAGGGGCGTTGAGTGGGGATGTTGAGGCTCCCACTGCTTCCGACTTATCAATGCCGAAACTGACCAAACCATAATTCCAAAGAAGAATCTTATACCGTATTGATACAGCTTTCGCATTTAATCCCCCATCTTTACCTCAAGGAATAAAGTAAAATATAGCTTACGCGCGTGCAAAATCATAAAACAATAGCTATTTTTAAGCATGCATGCAAATAAGGCCATCGTTTGGCGCATGAATGGTCAGAATCGCTATCCCAAAGGGCATTTCATACCGTATTTGTTTGATTTGATGATGTGCACAGGGTGTGACCTGAACTGTAATGTTTGCAGTGCAATCAACTGACAGACAGCGTTCACACTGCAATTGAGGATGCTGAAGAGGAATGCATAGTCAGTTAAATAGCAGTCTGGTTCTTATTTAAGGATTTTGTTACAGTTGTCCTGTATACTTCTCTTTTTTGAAGGTCGCACTGGAAGAAGTGACACTCACGGGAGCCGAGGAAGCAGCCGAGGAGGATTCGTCAGGCTCCGATTTTGAGATTGTTGATGTTGACGAGGGTGGCAGTATTTCGTCGGAGACCGAAGGGGAGGAGATCAATGCTTAGGCATCCAGAACAACATTTGTAGATATGAAGTGACTGTTTGTATTTTAATTGTCGTCCATATTCATCTACTGTTATCATTTTTAGGTATTCAGGGATATCTTTATGCTTTTACTGATTTGTAGTCCAAAAATACTAGTTAGTACCGTAAAAAAGTGATTAGATATGATTAATAGTCGTTTGTAGTGTATTGTATGCCACTTTGTGCATGTCTTTCATTGTACTTAACGCTGTATAAATTGCTCTGGGA